GCCCCCACCAGTGGGCGAGTGGTCTCCGTTGCCGCTCATCGTAGTGGTGACCAGACCCTAAAGACTGGGAGGTTCGTCGTGGGTTCGCGCCACGGTCGGACAGGCTGGCTGCTTGGAGTTTTCCGGGTTTTCTCCTTGCCTATAACGACTGAATAGGAGGCCAGTTCCCCATAAAAGTCCTCCCGGAAGGCATTTATTTCCCGCGCGTACGTATGGCTGTTCGGTCGCCTAGCGATCATACACAAGTCTACTCGGAGAAAGAGCCTACATTGAGCTAAAATCTCCATATAAACACCATCGAAGAAGAAGAATTGCCACTAGGAGCGCCCCAAGCTATTATTTAAATTAACAATAAATTCAGTTTTTTTGCGTAACAATATTAAAATAACAATAAATGCGTTTTTTTTTTCGTTTTTGACTGCGTTTTAGTATGGTATGCCATGAGAATGCACATTAAGAAGGGATTTTTTAAAATTTGTTCAACGAGAGAGAGGGTTAATGATTACCCTGAAGAACTTGGCTTCTACTGAACTAATTTAGATGTAATTTTTTGCGTTTTTGACTACGCNAGTTCTTTACCGTAAGCCTTAATCCTAACCATCTCCCTTCAGTGGGGGGGAATTTCGACACGTATCTATATATATAACCCATTCAACGGATATCGGTCTGTCCCGTAACCGTTTGATAACGGACATTAGAGGCGCCCCTATCGTGTCATATTTCAAACATTCAAATTAACAATTTTAATTCTTATTTAAATTAACAATATAAATTTTTATTATTAATTTGGACAATAAAACAATGTAAATAATTCAGTATATTTGTAATAGGAATTTATTATTTCAGGGGCTTATATCTCTCGAAGGGTCGCGAGTAGGGGTATGGTTCCTTTGACTTTATTGTTAATAGAGGGCTGTACGATTTGGGGGGATCGGCACCTCTTCATTCTGAGGGTAAATCTTACCATTCGGACTTTAACAGAGTTGTAGAGCATATTGATAGGAACAAAAAAGTCAAAGGAACCGTGCCTCATGGAAAATTGTAAAGAATGCCCACTAGGGGGCGTCCCGAGGTACTAATATTATATAAAAACACGTGCATATTTGAATACAACGCAATGTCAAAATTTAAAAAAAAACCGTAGGAACAAACGAACATTACATTTTTATTTATATAGATAGATAAAAGATGATCTGCTTTAGTTCATCCTCACAGAAAAGCAAACTTAGAGCGTCGTACTCGTAGCGCCATCTGTTGGACATAAAAGCCTTAACCTAGATGATATCTTTTAAATTAATTTATATGAATGTTTAACGAAATAATATACAGCCTATGTCTACCCTGAAGTTCCATTCTAAATATTGGTGAAAGAATTTTTAAAATCGGATGGGTAGTTTCGGAGATTACACGCTACAACCAAACTTACAAACATTACCTCTTTATAATATTAGTATAGATTATTCAACAAAAAATTTGACTGTGCTAGAACAAAATCCGAGGCAATTGTGTGTAATGTGCTTTCCTCATATACCTTGTCAGAATTAGAAAAAAATCTAAAAAAACAAATTTTATTTTTATATATTCTGTCGCATGTAATCATAAGGATAGAAAAATATTTCCAAACGTTATTAGGTTTTTTGATTCTGAAACAGGAATAAAAATTAGAATTTTAGATTTTGTATTGAATATCATTGCCGGACGAAGTACACAGCCTTGGTTAGTGCACAATCAAGAAACTGTTTTTCAAAATGCTGTAAAAATTATTGAAGATGACAAAATTTCGGTAATCGAATTAGAAAACGAAATTAAAAATTTAAAATTTCAGTGTCAAGAGCAGTTAGAAAATAATTTTTTCCATTAATCATCCGTAATAGACCCCCGAGTGCCAAGGTATATATAAAAAGATCAGGACACGCTCCCGTGATTCTACGCGGCAGCGGATATTTTGGGACTGATCGATAGACTACACTCCACACGTAGGTCTTGCGTGAGTCGACTATTATCTATATATATAAAAATGAATGTATGTCTGTGTGTTTGTCTGTGTCTCTGTCTTATGTCCTTTATGCATTACCACACCGTTTATCCGATTGCCATAAAACTTAGGAAAGTTTTTTAATACACTCCCTCGAAGGTTTCTGGCATAGTACATTTAACCCACGATAGATGGCGAGCGTTTATACGAGTGTATCGAGACAGTGTGTTCGATCGATTTCAAATTGTGAAGACCATTTCCCCCAATTCAAAAAATATCTCTATGTATGCATTTGTGAACCGTTATTTACGATATTTGTAATAAATTTTGTTTAATCACTTTATTTTAACTTTTTTTGCTAATTATGTATTCGCTCGAACTTCGTTAAAATATTAACTGTATCCCGAACAACAACCGAAGTCGTAGGAGGAAATTCGCCTATTTTACCGATCTAGAAATCCCCCTTTTCCAAATTTTAATATCGACTCAAAATAATTTAAAAAGACAAATTACAATAAAACGGTTTATTACCCAACTATCAGNTCGGTTTTTTTGCGTAACAATATTAAAATAACAATAAATGCGGTTTTTTTTTTCGTTTTTGACTGCGTTTTAGTATGGTATGCCATGAGAATGCACATTAAGAAGGGATTTTTTAAAATTTGTTCAACGAGAGAGAGGGTTAATGATTACCCTGAAGAACTTGGCTTCTACTGAACTAATTTAGATGTAATTTTTTGTGTTTTTGACTACGCCATGAAACATTCAGTATATTATTTTTATTTGTAATATAAATTTATTTTATACCACGGAATGACACCGCTGCTGCTAGAACGCCCACTAGAGAACGACCCGAGCTACTAGTGTTGTTTAGTGGATATTTTAGAAAAAAAGCAGTTTTTTTATTTTTTAGAAAATACAGTATTAAAAATGAGTTACTGCTATTTTAAAAAATTTTTTCTAAAGTAGTCAATTCTTTTTTAGCTTCCCGGCCTTTTTCCCGTCCTGCTCGTACATCATTTCACTTCAACTTTTTTGATAGAGGAGTGCTGCAGCTCATCGCTTTTCACTCCGGAAGAAACAGTGGGGCCGATCGCACTGCGACCGAAAAGGCAGTCTTATCGAAGACGACCAAGCCGAAGACAAGAGAGAGGTCACGAGGTAACCAAAGCCGGCGTTATAAGAGACGACACTCGCGAGAAAGAGAGCCTTCCAGGAGGACTTTGGGGTAAGCTGGCCCCTATTCAGGTGTCATTGGCAAGGAGGAAAACCCGTAAAAACTCCCGCTGCCAGCTCGTCCAAGTGAAGCGCGAACCCCCGATCGAGCTCGTGGTGTATAGGGTCTGGTCACCACCATTAAACGGAGACGGAGTCCACTCGGCTACCTACGTGTACTAAAAGTGTCTCTTATAGCAAGCCCATTATGGGTTTGGCCAAGCCCACAATATAGCGGCCGGGTGGTGAGGAACGGGGAACCAAATTATCCGAATGGATCAAACTCCGAAAAGTTTTTGTAGTTTATTCGATCCGTCCGGATTTGAGCCCGGGTTACGCAAAGCGATAGGTTGTTGCCTTGACCGTTCGGCCATCCGGCCTTAATTTTTGTTTTTGCTTGGGTATTTTTAGTCTATTAATTTTATAGAGACACAAAAGATTAGAACTTCTGTAATGTGGCATTAAATGTACAGTTTATTAGAAATTAACGACCAGACTTTTTTCTTCCGGATCCTTGCAAACATTGCACAAGTGACTACACCTTTTAAAAATTTGTGTTTCCTTTTTCCGTGAGATTATAGCAACGACTGAGAAAATTATATAAAATATATGTTGGCTACTTTCAATAATAAACATTAATAGTACTATAACCTCTGTAAAATATACTGGAATGAAAAATTCATATTCCTGTGTAATTATTAATTAAACACTACAAAAGTTAAGAGTTATTAGATGTTGGAAGTTTAATTTGAACAGTTACAGTTTAAAAGGTATATATAAACGATTAACACATTAAACTTTACAAATCAGATATAAAAATAGCATTGTATCTACTATCGAAACATTAAAAAAAATTGAAAATGCATTACCAGTCACAGAATTTCTTATAATGTTGTTATATCTTCATTGACAAAACTGTTTTACATAAAAATAAAACGGGACCCATCAGTATGAGCCACCAAAAAACATCAATTTTCTACTTCCGACTGGTCGGTCTTCTGTTTTTGCTTAGGCTTATTCCAATCGAATACGTAGTCGAATTGATAATTAAGTGTGCAAAATAAATTGCTAAATAATTGCCTCAGGTACGTATAATCTGGTGTTTCATCAAAGCGGAGACTTCGACAGTAATTCAAGTACGCTGCAAACTCGGGCGGAAATCCATCACAAAGAACTTCTACTGGTATCGACATTTTTTTTTCACTTATTTTTTCATACATTTGTTTTTTGGTTGCTGCTGCCAAGCCTTCCCACGGTAGACTTCCACGATTAAAATACATTAACACATATCCTATCGACTCCATATCGTCCCTACGACTTTGTTCAATACCCAAATGGGTATTAATGCTAACATAACTGATAGTACCAGTCATACCTTTATCCTCACGATAAGGTATATGTTGTCCTTTGCAAATATATTGTTTTGCTAGACCAAAGTCTATGAGATAAAGCTTACTGCGATGTCTTCCAATTCCAATAACAAAATTATCTGGTTTAATGTCTCGATGAATGAAATTCTTATTGTGAACATATTCAATTCGTTCAATCATCTGATCAGCTAGCATTAAAACAGTTTTCGTAGTAAAATGTCGTGAATATAACGTAAAAAGGTTTTCTAAACTTATTCCAAGAAGATCCATGACTAAAACATTAAAATCACTTTCTTCTCCATACCATCGTATACGAGGTATTCCGTTACCACCTTGAAGAATTTCATATACATTATTTTCGTAGAGTAGTCGTGGATTCTTTACCTCTCTTGGCTCCAATTTTATAGCAACCCGTTCTTTATTTGTGATGTCGATGCCAAGAAAAATGTGTCCGAACGAACCACTTCCAATCTTACGTATGAATTTATACTTTCCACCGACGATAAGTTTTCTTTTTGATGAACTACTGGCACTAGCCATTTCGTTATAACGAATATCTAGCGTTCCACTGACTTTTTACAACCTTACAGTAACCTCGGCAACCTTATAAAGGGTGCGTTTACTTTTATCTCTGATCTCGCCCCTAGCACGCTCAGCCTATATACTTTTTGTTGGCTACCAATGAGCACGATGTTTACTTTTCGCATCCGTGACGTCATTGCTAGCATTCCTAGAGCGCTCGGCGTGCTCGGAGAATTTACAACGAGCTTGAAGTTTGTTCAAAGATGACGGCATCCATTAATGTGTATACTTTTAGGAGCGTGCTAGTATGACGTCAGGCTGCGTTAGGTGTCAGCTGGGCGAGCTTGAAAGCTAGCGAAAAGTAAACGCATCCAAAGAGCACGTGCAGCTTAGGGGGTACCCGTAAACTGCACGTGCTCATTCTAAAGTGATAAGGCTGTTTGAAAGGTTTACCGAGTAGTCTTTCATAAAATGAATTGATTCAAGACTAATGTGACTCGAACTTTTTCAAAACACGTATAATTTTTTGGAATAATCCATATAAAATATGCTAGAAAGAAAAAATTGTAGAAATATTTACTGATTGTGCACCATTCGGAGATCAGTTGCTTAAGCTTGTTTTCCACGCGGAGTGGCATCGGCGTACGAAGCCGATGCTGTGGGTGTCATTCGGTGACGTGATACTCATCTCTGACGTGTTTCTTGATAACTTTCTTTCTTCTTTACGTGTTTTCTAACGTGTTTCTTGATTCTTTCTGCAAATAATTCGCTTAACTTTGGAGACATTACGCGATAGATCATAATATACTATAGTATTTTTATTGTAATTAGAAACGCGTTATTATTATTATTGACTATATGAAACAACAAAGGTAAAATCGCTGGCTAACGACAATAATTCTATCTTGATNATTCGCTTAACTTTGGAGACATTACGCGATAGATCATAATATACTATAGTATTTTTATTGTAATTAGAAACGCGTTATTATTATTATTGACTATATGAAACAACAAAGGTAAAATCGCTGGCTAACGACAATAATTCTATCATGATATATATTATGATGACAAATATTAATCAAATGCAACACAAGATGTCTAATGTCTAGATGTAAATAACAATTATACAATTTTATTTACGACATGAAAGAGATTAGGCCATTTAAAAGCAGAGCAGAATTATTAGTTATTTATCGCATTATCATACGTTATTATATGTTGAATTTAATCCATATTTAAAATGAAATGATGTTTTAATATTTCTGTTAATAATATGGTGACCAGACGTCCCGACAGTCCCGATTTTTAACATTTTGTGGTGGCCCGTTCGGATATGACGGACCCCGTTTCTCACCACCTGTCAGCCCCATAGTAGGTCTGGTCGAACCCATAATGGGCTTGTAAAAAGAGGCTCACAGGTTGGAAAGAGTAAAAAAATATCTCGATATAAATAAATATTATACAATTTTATTTACGACATGAAAGAGAAAAAGCAGAGCAGAATTGTTGCTTATTTATCGCGTTATTATATGTTGATTTTTAATCCATATTTAAAATGGAATGATGTTTTAATATTTCTATTAATGATAAGGTGACCAGATGTTCCGACAGTTCCGATTTTTAACAATTTGTTTCGCACCCCGCGGTGTCCCGACTTTTTGGAAGGATTAAATTTTTGTCAATTATGTGTCATAAACTTGCGTCTTATGTTTAATTAAGATTCGGTAAAGATCGTTTCGTATTGTGGCTGTACGCCATATTAGATATATATTTTGTTATAATTTTTATATATTTTCCTTTCTTTGTTTTTTGTCTATTGTTTGTCCTTTGTAGAAATTTTTTTCCAACCCTTCCTAGTTCCTACTTGGATGGATATGACTAATCACTTTAGAACAATAGAGAGTAATGTGACTCTGAGGGCTGTGTGTGTGTGTGTGTGTGTGTGTCCAACGAGCCAGCGTTGTTATTCCTAGGACATTTGTACTTTTCGGGTACATTTTGCCCTTTCGNATTTTATCAATGCTTTAGCAAAATTATATTTATCAAATGCAGAGTTTTCTAGGGGACTGACATTGACCCATAATATAAGATAAAAATTAACCTCAATTAAGCTTTCAAACATTTCTCACTTGAACAGAACTGGTTAGCTAATTCCAATCACTATTCTAAGAAGCGAGTTATTTTAACGCTATTTCTGCAATATTTGTTTCGTCGTTTCATTCAAAGTAACTCAATTGTATTTAATATTTTACTATACATAAAAAATAAGTGAAAAAAATTGTCAAATTGAATCAATAACCAACTCTACAAACACCATCTTGACCATTTTCTTCTACTCTTTTTATTCCTAATTAACTAAATTGGAATTAAATCTTACTGCAGTTATCTTTAATCATATAAACATAGTTGAACCAATAAATTTTATTGTGATTTTGTTATTAAACAAAAATGATTTTTTATTATACATTTGTAAATTACAATTACTGTATATACTGTATTTACTCAGGTAATCCAGGTCTGTGAAGTCGGAGTCAGAAGAGGTAAAAATATTACTCCAACTCCCATTTTTTTCAGTATTGTATACTTTATATGCTCCTAATAGGGGCATTTACTTCCTATCTTGCATTATGGCAGTCATTCATAACACACGAAGTTATTTTATAATAATTCTTATACTTCGTGACCTTTCATTTCATATCTCTATCATCAATTTTCAGAAATGTATTAAAATGGAAATTAAAATGTACATAATTTTGGGAGTAAAATAATTTTTGACAGATTAAGAAAAAGTCTGTAGCACACGATCCAAAAAATATCAACAATTTAATAACCAGTCTTTAATACATTACAATCCCTAATTTTAGAATATACACACGTATCTAAACCCAATAATTTAATTCTTAAATCTCCCAACGAAGAGTTAAACCACATTTTAAATTCAAAAACGACGACACTATTAAAAAAAAAAAAACACTAAATTATAAGTCGTGATTTTTACTTAGCAAATACAGTATATTTTTGAACAACCAGATTGATCGTCGGCTGCATTTTAAAAACAGCTACTGAATTTAACAAAAATTAATTAAATTATGCTATCCGAGCACATTCTAAGAACAAGCAAAGATTTCAAGTACCGGTACTATAATTAATAATTACAGCAATTTATTGATCGAAAACAAACAACTCTCCCTTTGTNTTCGTTTGCATTTTAATTGCATCTCACCCGGCAGATTATTATGCAGGCTGAGAGTATAAGCAGTGTCTCACCTGGCAGAAAAATCTGCGCTGAAAATTAACGATTCAGAAAAAATATTTTTTCAGAACTGTATTACATGTTAGACTTATGCAGTTTTCGCGATTGTTTTCTTCTGAGTTTATTTTACATAGAATAAATTGTTTTGGATTTTATTTTTAAATAAATTTGTCATTTTCGATTTTTTATAGAAATAGACCTGGTACAGAACTCAAAGTCATCTATAATCTAGACCAGTGTTTTTCAACCTTCTTGAATACGCGACCCCTTTACAAGTTAAAAAATTCTGGGGACCCCCCAGAGCCATATTAAAACTATATCAGTGATTTTAAAAACTACGTACTGTATTTAATTTTCTTTCTGTTGAGACTTAAATATCGTTCGAAAAACCAATTGTAATGTAAAATAAACAGGCATAGCCTTCTCACTGATATTGTAGTTTTTTTATTGTAGCGTAGGTCCTACAAACACTTGTCTGTTTCTTTTACCCGCGACCCCCCATGTAAGGCTTTGCAACCCCCTTGGAGGTGGCGACCCACAGGTTGAAAAACACTGGTCTAGACAAAAATGTTCCTTTTTCTGTCTTTTTCTTTAATTTTTGTGCTCATTTTTGTGATATTACAAATTTATTTAGTAGATTACATATTTCTATTATACTTTTCATGATATCTGATGATAATTTTTATTTTTTTAAACGTAAATGCAACGTATAAAAGTCATTTTTGTTGTATTTTTAGTTATTTTGTTAGTTTTTGTACTAATTTAAACTCTTATATGTTTGTTATTGATAGCTTTCTGTTATTTTTAACATTTATTATTCAACTTTGTTAATTACTTTACAAGATAATATTGTAAACAGAAGCACGTGTTTTTTGCAGTGACGTGGAGTCATGTGACCGCATTAACGCCCGGTGACGACATCCTACTTCCTGTGATGTCCTTATGACGTAATATCTAAAAAATCAAAATAATTTAAAATATTACATTTTTTCCATTATTTAAAAACATTATTTCACTAAATGAATTCATTTATTGCAAAATACTTAATANTTAGAACAATAGAGAGTAATGTGACTCTGAGGGCTGTGTGTGTGAGTGTGTGTGTCCAACGAGCCAGCGTTGCCATTCCTAGTACATTTGTACTTTTCGGGTACATTTTGCCATTTCGAGTACATGGAAAGTACACTTAGATTTTTAGTACATTTTGAGTACATTATAATATTTCAGTCCCATTTATAGTACAAAATAATATTTCATGCCATAACGAAAAAATGCGAAAAAATTCGTCTAATAAAGTCTCACTAGTGTCACTGCTTGCTAATTTGATTTACCCAATCACAACATACACATGTTGTATGTCGATCGACATCAACAACATACGGATAGTTGATAACATGATAGAAGAGCACTGAGTCATAACATTTGCACGTGCAAATGTTATGACTCAGTGGTCTTTTTTCACACGTTTCATCATCTACACATTTTCACGAAGACCTTGACTAAATGTTCACGCCACGTGGTCCAAACAATTCAACTCTGTCAAACAAAAATAAGGAACAGATAAGAAAATCAATGATTTTAAACTTTTGTGATCAATAATATCAAAATAGCCATTAAGTCAGAGTCGAATTATTACACAAAATAATTTTGAAATTGTACAGTACAAGTACAAATAATACAGTATAAATACAAGTAACCCGTATAACACGGTAGTTACGTTCCAAAAAATTGCCGTGTTATGCGAAACAAAGAACTAGTACGAAAAGGAGGGTTA